ATGGAACTCACACTGAAGCAGCTGTGCTGGCTTGCAGTGCTGTGCCTTAACCTGCTGTGCCACCAGAGAGGTCCCTGTGCTTTAATTTAACCCCTTGCACAACCAGGGAGGGCCTGAAAATAAGATCTTGTTAGAGATGTACAGGAGCATTGATATTAAACATAAAGATAAGGGGCCTCTCTGGTGGCACAGGAGTTAAAAGTTTCAGTGCTATCAAGCTATCAGCAGCCACTGCAGCATGCATTGGATGCCTGGCCAGGGTCCTAACCCACAAGGTGCAGCAGACCTCTCCTGTCTAACCTGCTGCTCCCCTCAGCAGTATATTTCAGTAGATTTGACTGTCCTGCTCCCCACTCTGTGAATCCTCTCACAACCCTACACCTCTTACCCACACCCCAGTTCTTGTATGCATATATATGTAAAAATAAATCTTAAAAAAGTCATGAACAATAACCTGGGTTTCCAGGACTTGCACAGCCTCAAAATTTGGAAGTGTCTTCATAATACACTCTCACATCAAAATGATGGTTTCCAGCTAGTATGTAAAATTTCCTTGAAAGTACCAGAGGAATAATTTCTTTTATCCATTTTCTTTTTCATGGTCTTATTTTAAAAAATTAACTTAACTTTTACCATTTTCTTCAATATAAAAAATAAAATCTATTTATAAAAAGTTTATACTGTAATTTTAAATAGATTGTTATATCTCAAAGTGAGTTAAAATCTACCATATTTACATAGTCCTACTAACATTATTATTTGTATATTAAAAGAAACAAACAATTTAAAACATAAAATTGTAAAAGGTTTACAAGGCTTAATTGTCATAAAGGTTTATTTATACTTCAAGAAATTTCATTATGTTGAAGTTGAAAATGAATATGTGTCCTGATTAGCCACTGTGTGGCAGCAAAGAAGCAGAAGAGTAACCTAGTTTCCCCAAAATGGCTGCAGAAGCAATAGTGCAGGAGATGGGAACAAATGGGAATAAAACAATGTCATAATTCTGATCTCTAACTTACATTTTTTAAAAATGCCAAAAGAATTAGCGACATTTATTTTCCATTTAAATTTGGAAATCAGGCCTTCCCTGGTGGTGCAGCGGGTTAAAGCACAGCACTGAGAAGCTAAAGCCACTGCAGCATGAGCTAGATTCCTGCCCGCCCAGGGAGGTGACCCACATGGCGGCAGACCTCTCCTGACCTGCCCCCTGCTCCCCTCAGCAGTGTACTTCGTCGATCTGCCTATTCTGCTCCCCACTCTGTCTGTGGTGAATCCTCTCACCATCCTTGCACCTCTGGCCTGTACCCCAGTTGTGTATGTATAAATAAATAAATCTTAAAAAAAAAATTTGGAAATCAAATCAAACATGACACCTAGTATAACTTAACTCAATTTTCTAATGAGACAGGAAAAACTAGAGAACATACTGTTCATAAATTTAGTCAATGATTCTCTAAAAATATGAAAATTTCTTGACTTTATCTACCATGTATCATTTTCTTTTTTTTTTTTTTTACTTAGAGAACCTTGCCTACAATAAAAATTGATTACCTTTAAAATAACCAACTACTAGAGTCCAGTGATCAAGGGAAGTTTTTTCAGGTCTTTGTCATATTTCTACAGTGTGTAGCATCTTTGTAATAAAAAAATAAAATAACAAAATACCGTATGTTACTATAACATTAAAGAAGAAAACTTACCCACATAATTTTAGGATATCATATGCAGATTCTATAAAATTAGGCTGGTTTTCGATTTTTCCTGCACATAGATCCAGAATTTTAAATATATGTGCTAAATCCCTTAGGGGCTTTAATAGTATTAGTTAAGATATATAATGAATAATGTTATAACTTAATCTTCATAACATCAATTTTGTTAAATATAGTTGACACTATTTTAATAATACTAATTTTAAATTCTAAGGAGGAAAACTGAGAACTACAATTTCTAAAAGAATATGGTTTTTGATTTTGTCTCAGTAACCTTTTACTCAAAATATTTTTAGAAATTGCTTACCAACTACTACTACACTACAGATTAAGTTGATCAATAACTTACTAGTGACAATGAGTAATAACACAATGAAAAAAATTAAAACTCAATTATATACTTCATTTCTACTCACAAGCAAATAACAGAATTAGTAATCTAGGTCTGCTGTACTTTTCTCTATTATTTTACTAATGTCACTCAGATTTTCTTGTTTATAAAGTTTAGATAGAAATTTTATTTCATTTAAGCTAGTTTGAAAGCAAAATGTACCAGCTCTAGCTCATTAGGTAAAAGTACTCTAAAACCTATTTAAAAACCAAATTGGTACACAGATCTCCTAGATTTTGTTTTACAGATCAGGGAACATGATAGTTGTGACTTTCATTTCTTGGTTGAATCCTAGTTTTTAGTCTCATGCTAGGAGTAGCTTCTTAGCAAAAGTGGGAGACTAGGTATATTAGAACTATAAATCTCCTGTTAACTTCCTAGAAAAGTGACCGAGATACTTAAACTTATCTTTGCTTTACATTTTACAATCTACTAAACCCAGATTGCAGGACACATTTGAGTATAGTGTAATTTGCCAACAACTCTCTAACCTGATGAAAAAAAAAAAAAAAAGATGGCAGTAATGAGGCATTGGGTTAAGAGAGGAAAAGAAAGCGGTAAACAGTGTTTGAAAGTGACAAGACTAGCTAATACACTGATACCACATATCTATATAAAACTCAGGCTAAAATAAAGAAAAGATTTAGATAACACTATGAAGCATGTTTCCCTGTACAGGAAACATAGTAGCTTATTTTGAAATACCAGAATAAGCTAGTATTATTAGACTGGTGTCTCCTTTGGAACAGGCTAGAACAATGTCAGGGAGACTGCAGCCTATACATCTCTGCTAGTTTTGTGATAAGATGACTTCTGAAACTAAGAGTTCTCTAGGACAAATTTATTGTACTGTACAATAGCATATATAAGGGAAGGTTAAAAACAAAAAAACAAGAGTGAACTGGTTAAGTATAGTTTTGAGAGGCACTGGCTTCCATATATTCTGATCAGATGACATTCAGTTGGGATAATAATTTATATGTTGTATAGGTTATTAAACACTTAAATGCACGTTATTTCATGAGATGATGTTATCCCTATTCTATAAGGTGACAAGTTAAGATTATCAACATTGGAAATACGCAAATTGGTGGAAGCAAGGCTTTGAATTGGCCTTCCTAGCTACAACCCACTGTCTCTCTGAATCTATAGAAACTGGTATCAACTGTACTTACACTGGTTTCTTCAGCTTTATATTCCTAAAAAAAAAACTACAATTTTATTAAAAACACAGAATGTTAGATATTTTTGTGCTAGACAGAATACCACCTGACTAAAGGTTCTAATCCCCAAAAGTTGTAAGTATGTTACTTTCAATGACAAGGGACTTTTTAGATATGATTAAGTTAATAATCTTAAAATGGAGATGTTACCTTAAATTATCCAGTTAGACTGAGGTAATCACAAAGACTTTATAAAGGAAGAGAGAGGCAGGAAAGGATTAGAGAAGATGTAATGGCAGAGGCAGAGGTGAAAGCGATGCTGCTCAGAGAAAGGAGACTTGAGTTAAATTCAGGCAGCCTCTAGAAGCTAGGAAGGTGTAGGAACTGGATTCTCCCTTTAGAAGGCACCAGTCCTGCCAAAACCTTGACAGAACAGTGAGATTGGTTTTGGACTTCTGACCTTCTGTAAAACAGATGTTGTCTCCAGACACTACATTTGTGATAATTTATTGTGGCAGCAATAGGAACCAAGTACATTTTCTAATAAATATTATCCATTTTAGGGTGAAGAAGATGAGTAAAATATATACATAAAGGATACAAGTCCATTTTGATAACATTGCACCAGTTTCTTGACAGATTTAAGTTGTTTTTCTTCTAAATCATCCTAAAACAAATGCCTTTTTTAGTTTTTTGTGCAGTTAAATCAGTTGAAATTTTTTTAAAAAGGTAGATACATTAAAATATTACATCGTTTTTAATTATTATAATATAAGCATTATATAATATTTCCTGAAATAGTAAACGTAAAACTAAGCTACTGTCTAAATAAAATTAGGAAATTAAGACTCAAAACTGGGTTTCATAAAAGCAGTAACTTTTTTTTTTTTTAATTTATTTATCCATTCAAGAAATGGGGTATAGGTCAGCGGTGTGGGTGGGGGGGTGAGAGGATTTGCCAGGGACAGAGTGGGGAGAAGAAAAGGCAGATATACTGAAATACACTGCCGAGAGGAGCAGCGGGCCCCACAGGAGAGGTCTGCTGCTCCAAGTTTGTCACCTCCCTCCCCAACCATGGATCTAACTCATGCCACAGTGGTTGCCTGTGACTCCACAGCACTGCACTTTAACCCATCGTGCCACCAGGAAGGGTCAAAATCAGTAACATTTTTGCAGAATATTAACAATACCTAAATTATGTTGAGTATTTTTCTATGCTACTTATCATATTTAGGTGCAATATATACATATCATTTCATTAATCTTTAAGACAACCCTATGAGACCAGATATTATATATATATTTTTACTTTGAAAACAGGCCCAGAGGCCTCCTACATGGCCTGGCGCTTAAGGTTCACTGTATGGCCTGAGTTCCATCTCTGGCCAAGAAACTAACACATGTGGCACAGAAGATTTCTTCTGTCTTGCCTTCTGCTCCCCTTAGCAGAGTATTTCCATAAATCCACCTGTCCTGCTCCCTACTCTGTCTCTGGTAAATCCTTCCGTCCCCCAAGCCTCTGGCCTACACCCCAGTGCTTCAATGCAAAAAAATTAAACAAATCACATAAAATATGCCCAGTATACCAGTGCATACCAATTATCTTCAGCTAGTTAAAAACAAAACAAAACACCGCTCTTTTAATTTTCTTAAACTGTTTGTGAGAAGTAGTGGCAGTTTCCATACTTTTTTTGTGTCTAGTAAGCCTCATTGAACAGCTAGTACGAGTTCTATATAGTTGAATTCTCTTTTTAAAAGTGCAGGTATATTCACAATTAAAATACTTTTCACAATAAACTTAGTGAAAATGTTATTCTTAGTCATTTTTAATTGTGCCTTTTCTTCTTTTTATATAAAATTACAGAGCTAAAGATTAAAACAATAACATTTTGTCCCTACTGTTCATTGGGAATTATTTTGTTTTGAGAGGTATCTACCAGTCAACCCACTTACCCCCTTATTAAAAGTATAAATCTCCTTTGTTCTATAGTAATTTTATAGTGTTGCTGACTTTTGAACCAGTTAATTCCTGGGCAACCTCAGGAGCATGTGGAATGTGAGCATGTATGCATGTGCATTTATTATCCTTTCCTCCAATGCCGAAGCTCTCAGCTTTGAATCTCATGTCTGAAATATATTTCCATTACATTCTTTATAAGCTTTCTCTCAGAAAAATTACCTGTATATGTATGAGTGTGTACATATGTCCTGATTACATATCAAAAAATTTTAAGTATACATCATGATACACTTATCTACCTTTACTCCCTACATCCTACTTGATGACAAGAGACTAGATGTTTTCTCTATTCATATAATTTCTTCTGTTTATATTCACTGTGGATTTGTCCATTCCACAAAACCATATCTATTAATTTCCTACAGTTGATCTATCAGGTTAAATATATATATATATATATATATATATATACACACACACACACACATATATTTTCAACATAAAATTGAAATAGTCTATACTATGTGACATATATAAGACATATACTAGATTTCACCAAAAGAGGAGACATGGAATTTATATTTGGAGCAAAACATGTTACTTTTCAGGTAAGTCATGATTTATAAGTTAGCAGAGACAGTGTCTCTTAACACTTACTCCTTGATCAGTTTCCTCTAGGAGTTTGATGACACGATTTAAGTCCATAGGCTTAAAAGTACTCTAAAAACACACACACACACAAAAACAAAAGCAAAAAAACACAACATAACTCTTAGTATTCTATATCATGAAAGTCAACAAATTACATCCAGCATATTACTTTTATATATTGGTCCCTAGCAACTTAAACAAATCTGTGACAAAAAGACAGTAAGAGGAGACTGAAAGACAAATGAAATCTTATAGGAGGAAATACATTTTGGAGTTTAAAAAAGAAACAGCTCTTGAATTCTTCTATCTTAAAATCTTTGTCTTTACATTTCATTAGTCCTGGGAAGCCGAAGAAAACATCTGCTATAACAGAATTTCCATATTTTGGAAAAATAAAACAATCTTATATATACAATTACACTTCACATGTATATACATTACACTGAGTTTGATAGATAGAGATAGGTAGCTTCTAAACATCATGTTCCAGGTAGGAGATCACCTTCCTGTGCAATTTATTATCTTTTCTTTCAGTTGGGCACCAGCCCTCTTATAGCCATCCACATCTGAAGCATGAACCTCCAGATACTACAAATTTTACATCTTAATTATTCTTGAACCTATTCCATCTTACTCTTATTCAATTCTTTCTCATGCAGTTCTGAAGATTTTCTACTGTTTTCCCTATTTTTACTCCTGCATCCTTCAACTACTACCCTCTATTCTCTGGTTGGAATAATAAAGTCCAAGTCTGAACATAATCTGAATGTTTCACTGAGTCTTAGCTCACACCACTTCACCCTCCTCTACTCCACTTATGTTGTTACAACCCTGTTTCTTTCCTTGGTTAAGTCCCACAGGTCCTTCAAGACACAGCTTAGGTGTCACTTCCCTGAGGGATTAAAAAAAGGGTAGAACAGATACCCCTCCTCTTTCTCCCATAACACCCTTAAGCATACACTCATCACAATTCCCATCCCAGGGTTCTAAAATACTTTACCCCCACCACAGTCTTCTCTTTCTCCCATAGCACCCTTAAGCATACACCCATCACAAT